CTTAAGCCAATCCATCAAGAATGTTCTCCACTGCCCTAGCTGGTTTAGCTCAGTGGATAGAACTTGGCCTTTGGACCAAAGAGACCCAGATTTGATTCCTGTCAAGGAACATACCTGGGTTGCAGGCTCTTCCCAGGTCGGGGCTCATGCAGGAGGCAATCAATTGATGTTTTTTTTTTTCTCACATCAATATTTCTCTTTCTCTCTCTCATCCAGGCTCCCTAAAAATCAATAGAAAAATATCCTTGGGCAAGGATTAACAAAAATATATAAAAATATATGAAAATAAAGGTTAACCTTTAAAAAAAAAAAAGAATTCGCTTCAGTGAGACAAGGGATGGGCCACCTTTCATGGAGAAGGATCCCACCCTGGTTCCCAATTGACATGTATTTTTTTCTGCAATTCAATAATTTTTATGCAAATAAGGAATCCAAATTTGCACAGCCTTGTTTGGCCCAAATTGTGTGTTCTAATTGATCGTTATGGAGCAGTTCTGATTGGTTAGTATAGGTGCAAATGAGGATATACTTGTCCAGTTTTGATAGTATAGGGCAAGTCTCAGCCCACTGATGGAAAGATGAAACCAGGAACTCCTTGGTAAGGGTTGAGTTGGGTGGAACAGCCCAGTGGCAGGCTGACAGTGACTTTTCCCAAAATTCAGAGAACACGAGAGGCCTCAGTTAGCAATAGCCATAGACCCTGATTATGAATTTGGACCCAGTTAACCACGCTCTTTGGCAAATATATTTCTTCTCAGGGTTCACGTCAATAAAACTGCTTAAAGGCATGGGAAAGGTGAGAGTGTGGAGAAAACACAGAGGCCACATGTGATACTGTAAATTCCCAGGGTTTGCCATGAGGCAAGGCGGGGCTGATGTTCTTGTGCAAGTCACTTGGGATTCTCAGCTGTGGAAATAATACCGCCCTCCCAGGGTTTTAAGAAATAGTGGAAACTTTGGTAAAGCATATGGCACTTGGCTAGGCATTCAGTTTGGTGTTGGGCAAGGTGGAAGGGAAATATGCAACCTGCAATCAACTTCACGGCTAGTGCATCTTGGATCTGTGTCTTTAAGCAAGTTCCTTAACTTCTCTGTCACTGTCTCGGTTTCAGGGAGATTCAATGACACAATCTGTGCAACTGTTGTAGTGCCAGGTACAGGAGGAAAGGAGCCATCCATGGCATTTCTCAGAAAGGACAGAGGGTGGTAGGCTGACCCCGCTAGTAGGGGTGTCCAGGGATGGGGAGGCAGGGAGGCTCAGAAGGCAGAACAAGAGCAGCAGCAAAACCGACATCCAGACACTCCAGCAAACACCATCAGTACAATTCTTGATGGACTGGTTTAAGATTCCATGTGGGAAAAGGCAAACTATAATTAAGTCTTGGTTTGGCGATTTAGAGTCATAATGTAACTCTCCATTTTGAGCCTGTTGTCTTGTTTTGAGGAGCACAAATACAATTTAGCTATGCCTCTCAGGGATCTCCCATTATAAAAAAAATAATAATATAAAGGGAATAAAGCTAAATTAAATAAATTAGAAACAAAAACACAGCCTTTGCAAAGTTCTTGAAATGTTTTCTTGTTGCTGTTTAGCAATTTAATTTTCTATTACTAATTTTAAAAAATTATTTCCATGTCTTTACAAAAGCGCATTTGTGTTCATGGCAAGTTATTATATTTAGAAAATGAAATATAAACAAAAAGAAGAAACTAAAAAATCACCTATAAGTTCTCTACATAGAGGCCCCTGTTAAAATGTTGATATCTCCCCTTCAGTATCTTTTTAAGGCATATAGATTTATAAGGCAGGAAAACATGCTGAGATATTAGTTTGAGTTGTCTGTGGACCCTGTGGTGAAAACACAGAGGGCCTTGTTGTGAAAACACCCTTGCTCTGAGGTAAGTTTGTTTTCCAAAACCTACGGAATGAAGAAAGAGCCTGGGAACCTACAGCACCAGGTGTCTGACCGGTTGGGTCAGACCAAACCTGGGTTCAGCAACCTGGGTTGTGGCTAGGAAAGAATTCAGAGTCAGTCTCAAACTGTAAGAGAACATTTATTTGGTAAATCACAGAGGTAGAAGAAGTAATTCCTAGAAGAAATGGGCTTAGGAAACAAGTTATGGAGGTAAAGGAAGGGCCCTTGGAGCTTGCGAGTGAGGGTAGGGAGGAGAAAGGGAGGGAAAGGCGTAGGCATGCTCCCAGGGCCCTCCATCCTAAGGGTTTTAAGGGTGGAGATTTTAGGGGAGGTCGCAGGGGAAGATCTCAGTAGAAAATCCAGCAGTTTTCCAGCTGTGTCCTTTTATTGTTGTAGTCTCCACTAATTGATCGGCCAGGACCAGGGCAGGGGGTCATTTTTCAATGCTGCTGGTCCTGAGGTCAGCCTTGGCTGGTATTATTGCTTTTTCTGGGCCTAGAGCTGAAACACAATGGAAGCATGGATGTCTCTAGGAAGGGAAGATCAGGGGGTCCAAACCTCATAACCAGCAATATGCTAGGGAAGGAAAAGTCACCATGAGGGCCAGGAAGGGACACAGGAGGTTGGCCAGCCAGGGAGGGACTGCAGGAGGGCTTCAGGATGTGTCTGGCCCGTCTCGCTCAGTCCTGATCAGCCAGACCCCAGCAGCAAGCTAAGCTACCAGTTGGAGTGTCTGCCCCCTGGTGGTCAGTGCATGTCATAGTGACTGGTTAACTTATAGCAAGCAGTTGAGCAGCCTTAGCATATCATTAGCATATTATGCTTTGATTGCTTGGACAGCCAACCAGGCAACTGGACACTTAGCACATTAGGCTTTTTTTTATATAGGATTATCCATTGCTGGGTACCTGGGACTTTTCACCCTGGTGACCTTCTGTACCTGGTCCATTGTTCTTGCTTTGCTCATGTCTGTCTAACTCCCTGCAGCAAGAGGAAAGGGAGTGGGGTGGAGTGGGAGGAAACTCGGATAAGACAGAGAAGAGAAACAGTGACAAGTATATCTCTCTCCTAAAGAGGGATGGCACTCTGATAGGTGGTATATAGATCTCATGTAGACACTAAACTCTCAGAGCCATGCAGAGGATGTACACCCATTCCTCGGGCCTCTGTGGTCCCACTACGCTATGGGGCTTTTCAGTGGTGAGACTGAAAACCAGTTGGCAAGAAAAGGCCAACTTGGATATAGACTAGATGACCAATCTCATTCCTACTGAGACAAGTAAGCCAGAACAAATGGAATAGGGAAACTAAGGCAGATAGTTAAATGCCCAAGCAGTTTACAGACATCAAGTAAATGGCAACACCCTATCTTCCCTAACCAAGGACACTTAAAAGTAAATAGTTTACACTTCCAGAGGGTAAATAGCTTAAATCATCCTATTCAGTGAGATAGGTAACAAAAATTCAATTAGTGCCATTTGTGCCAACCACACCCAAGGATGTGTGAAGTCAGGGGAATAAATCTCATCTTGGCACATCAACATAAAACTGCTGGATATTCTCTTGTGACTCCCCTCAGACCTCCCTTAAACTCCCAGCCTTTAAAACCGTCAAAGACCCAGGGTGTGCACTCCCTCTGAGAACATGCCCACATCTTTCCTTATCCTTCCATTTCCCCCAGGCACATTGTTTTTGCCTTTTCCCAAGGCCCTTCTGCCTCTTTAACTTGTTTCCTGTGCATATGCAGTCCAGCTGGCTCAGTTCTTCTACCTATGTGACTTTTTCTTGTAATTTGAGTTTTTGGCTCAGAATTCTTTTTTTTTTTTTTTTTTTTTTTTCTGAACTCAAGAACCAAGGTGTAACTTCACTGGCAATAACTGGTGCCATTTGGCCAGCAACATCTCAAGTAACACTCTGGTTCCCTTGGGCTCATAGGAGTGGGGTCAGCAGAGATGAAACTCTGACGCCCAGACAGGGTGTGTTTTCTTAGCCACATTTCTCTAATGTGTTCTTGTCTTCTCTCCAAGCCTTGCCTCTAAGTCTCCACTGCCTAATTGTTTTTCTTTCTATTGAATATTTTTAGAGATTTTTTTAAAAAATAAGTTTTTTATTGATTTCATATTTAAATATATATATATATATATATATATATATATATATATATATTTATTTTTTTTTTTTTTTTACTGAGTTCAGAGAGGGAGGGAGAGGAAGAGAGATATAGAAGCATCAATGATGAGAGAGAATCATTGATCAACTGCCTCCTACATGCCCCTTACTGAGGATCAAGCCTGCAACCCAGCCATGTGCCCTGATAGGGAACTGAACTGTGACCTTCTGGTTCATAGGTTGACACTCAACCACCGATCCACACTAGCAGGGCTATTGTTTTTTCTTCTGAAAAGGCAGTGTTCTCCTTTCCTCCTTGTTCTTTTGACTCCATCCCTCAAACAAGAAACAATTGTGGTAGCTGCAGTTGGGAGTGGCTGCCTAAATACCAAGACTGGGACTGTCTGTGCAATTGAGGAAAGGCATATATAAAATGGGTCTAACAATATCTAGGCCACAAGTTCCTCCAAGAATGAAATGAAGTCCTGTAGTGGGTCCAAATCCATGTTCACCTGGAGCCTCAAAATGTAACCTGATTTAGAAGTAGGGTATATCTACAGATGTAATCAGTGAAGATGAGGTCATACCAGATTAGGGTGGGCACTCATCTAGCGGTTAGTGTTCCTATAAGAAGAGGAGAGGACACTCAGAGACACACACGGGGAAGAAGGTCATGTGAAGATGAGAGAAGAGATTGGAGTGAAGCAGCCACAAACCAAGGAATGCCAAGGCTTACAGAAAGCTGTTGGGAGCCAGGAAAAGGCAAGGCGTCTTTCCTTGCTGTAGCCTTCAGAGGGAGTGGCCCTGTGACACTTTGGTTGCAGATTTACAGCTTCCAGACCTGTGAGAGAACAATGAGGGAGTTGTGAGAGCAGTGTCTGTTGTTTTAAGCCACCCACTTTATGGTCTTTTGATATGCAGCCTCAGAAAACTATTAAAAACACCTGTGTAAAATTTCTGGCACACAGATAGAACATGCTAGCAATTCTTTCCTCGGCCTTCTTTTCTGGTAACTTTACAACTAGTTTTCCCAAATACCAGTCATTTATTTGCTTAACACGAAGTGATCCTGAAAGCAAAACCAAAACTCAGTGGGCTGGGCTTCAATGGTTCCTAAGAATTAGTTGTGATTTGAATGGCAATGACGTCTTTTCTCCTGTGGAATTATTACCTGATGGCTTTTCATTATCCATCTTCCTGATGCCCCTGGGCCAGCTAGAAGGAATCCTGGCTTCAGTCTACTGGCTGTTGCAGTGGTCTAGGCTGCAACCTAGAGTTTTTGTTTTGTTTTCTTCTGGCTGTTTGTTTAGCTGTGGCTTCTATGAAGGAATCTGATGCAAAGAGCAACTTTTATTGGTTTCTTTTTGTTTTGTTTCTTTGCCTGAGGAGCAAGTGCCAAGTGGTGATGTGAGTATCCAGGGGGTTGAGGTTTTTCTGGCTCTTTGCGTTGGGGTGGAACATGATGAGGCTGTCGCAGTGGGGTAAGTGTGGGCACCCTTTCCCTCCACAGCATCGGAGGCAGGGGAAGTTCTGCCTCAGACATTGTGCTCAGGGACACAAGCAAGCTAATTTCTGCCTGCTCCTCAACTAGTGGGATTTCTCTTGCTTTTCCCTGTACTTATTATTGTTGTTGGGCAGTTTTATGAGGTGAGATATTTTTATGCACAAAATAAACGTGCATTGAAAAAATATTGAACTATTCTTGAGATTATCTCAGCTTAGAATTTTTGAAGGGTTAATAGAACTTAAGATTTTGTTTTCCTGTGTCTGGCATGTTTTGAGTTATCCCTTTGGCAGGGAGAGAACATTCCCGGCTAGCCTGTGTTTCGAAGCTAGGCTCTAAAAGGAAGCGTTTAAAAACAAAAGTAAAATAGTAATTACATTAATTTATACTACAGACAACCATTATTTAACAAACATGTGATCTGGGATCTACTATAATAAAAAGGCTTATTTTTCTATGTGAAATGATGAAAGATTAGTAAAATGGAAGAAAACTGAAAATATTTATTGCTCTCCACCTGGTACACATAGTAGTTGAAATGACAGTGGAGAGCATTAAAGGGAGGAGGTGAAGTTTCAGTGAAATTGCCTATAAATAAGGTCTTCTGATCCTGAAATTCTCAGGTCTCGTGGGAGGGAATAATGAACAATATATCTGACAAACTTCACGGTAAGAATATTAAGGCTGAGCAGTAATCACACAGTTGCATGAGAAGTCAAATGCTCCCTCCCAAGATCCTAAGATCCTAAGATTCTATGAATGGATGAACTATTTCCTTTTTGCCCCTCAAAGCTGGTTTATTCACATTCATTACCTAACCTCTCACTGTCAGTCCTCGCCTACTGCTTCAAAGTGTCTTCTTCCTGCTGTCTGTGAGCCTTTCCATTAAATTAGAGTTTTAGATTATCTGAATCCCAAGTGCCTAGCACAATATATGATCATGGGGTGCTTGTTGAGTTGTTTAATGCATTGATTTGATGAAATGGCAGGTGAACCACCAGATGTAGGTTATTTGTGTAATATACTGGAGACAGTTTGAAGTTGATTTGAGGAGATGATGCTAACATCTTCAGAGATGGGTTATGTTTCAGAGTTGACTTGTTTTACAATGCATTGAAAGAGAACCATAGATTGTTGTGTGTCTTTTTTTAAATAATATATTTTATTAAATTTTTTTTACAGAGAGAAAGGGAGATGGATAGAGAGTTAGAAACATTGATGAGAGAGAAACATCGATCAGCTGCCTCCTGCACACCTCCCAGTAGGCATGTGCCTGCAACCAAGGTACTGTTATGCCCAGATTTCATGATCCTCAAGGACCACGAGGGAGCCGAGTCCGATGCAATAGCAGAAAGCCTGTATTCCCCTTCCCCTTCCCCTTCCACCGCTGTTGGTGTAAGTGGGCTCTCTCCCACTTACACCAACAGCCGTGGAAGGGGAAGAGCTTCAACAGATCAAGTGGTTTTATAGGGGTGGTGATGTCACTGCTTTGGCTGACCCTGATTGGTTGGGTGAGGGCTAGGGTCCAGTTACAAAATGGAGGATCAGGAGTTCCGCCCTGCCCACTCATTCCGAGGAGTTAGCCCTGCCCTGCCCTTTCAGTACATGCTGTTGACAGGAATCAAACCTGGGACCTTTCAATCTGCAGGCTGAAGCTCTATCCACTGAGCCAAACCAGTTATAGCTATTGTGTGTCTTTTTTATTTCACGTGGCAATGTCCAAATACACTGAATGCCTTAATTGTTTAACACCTGGGTTACCATGTAATGAGGCAACTTCAGCCTGGCCTCCTATTGTCACATCCCACTGTAGCAGGGTTTATTTATTTATTTATCTATTTTAGAAAGAAAGGAAGGAAGAGAGAGAGAGAAACATTGATCGGTTGCTTCCTGACCAAGGATGGAACCCCAACTTAGATATGTGCCCTAATTGGGAATCAAACCTGTGACCTTTTGGTGTTTAGGATGCCACTCAACCAAATGAGCCACATGGCCAGGGCAGCAGGATTCATTTAGATTATACTATATGTTCCCTGATCTTCAAAAAACTCACTATATTGCAGGATAAATAAATAACTCTGAAAGATTATCCAGCCCCAACCACCTCAATGCTTTCCCACTGTCTACCACACCGAAGGGCTTATTCCCAGTTCTTATTCTCCAGATTTCTCGATTATCTTCTTGGAATTTTCCTCCCTTGGGCTTGAAACACTGGAATGGGAGAAGCTTCTCTTACTCTTAGAACTATTTCTTCTCTGCCTTCTCTGGTGTCCTACTCCTGCTCTCCAAACTTGGGAACATTCCTAGTTCAGACCTCTTTTTTCTAGTCTCACCTTCTATATTCTCCCCCACAGAGAGTTAGTTCATTCCCCAATATCAACTAACATCAACATATTTGAAATAACTTCTTTATGTTTATCTCTAGCCCTCAATTATGTCGAAAGCTCTACACTTACATTTTTCTTGAATGCCTTGCATTACTTCATGACTCAAACTCAACTTATCAGCATTCCTCTAAAAATTAGCTTTCCTTTTTTATTTTAATTTCATTTTTAAAGTATATTTTTATTGATTTCAGAGAGGAAGGGGGGAGAGAGAGATAGAAACATCAATGATGAAAATCATTGATTGGCTGCCTCTTGCATGCCCCTTACTGGGGATTGAGCCCATAGCCTGGGCAAGTGTCCTTGACTGGAATTGAACCTGGCACCTTTCAGTCCATAGGCCAACATTCTATCCATGGAGCCAAATTGGCTAGGGTTCTTTCTCTTAAAAAAAAAAAAAAAAAAAAATCACACTGGCAGGGCAGAATCCCTCTTTCTTGATCTTATACCTCCTTTTTTTCTGATACCATTGATACCAATGATATCAATATTGTCTTGATATTTGGCCTCAAAACTGTAGTCAACTTTTTGCTTCTCTTTCTTCCCTGTGTGGCTGATCACTTATCAATTGTCCTGTCAGTAGTCCTGACAATTGTCTTATCAAGGTTCTTCTTTAGGTGGCTCCTCCCTAGATGAGAATGCAGCGGACAGACATTTCTGGCCACTGGTTCTGCCAGAATTTAGGCAACAATTTTTATAGAAATCTCTATATTGTTTTGTGTTACCAGTAACAAAGCACCAAAATTATTAGAGGTTTAGCAAATAATTCTAAGGACCTAATAAAGTACAAAGAGTTCTTGTTCTAGCAGGGAAACAGAAATTCACCCACTTAACATACTAGGAGTGACTTACAATAATGTTAACACTAGAGGTAAGTAGCAGATACAATTGAGGCAAAAGGAACAGCTTAAGACATTTAAGAGAGGCTTATAAAATGTGTTAAATGCATAAGAATGTAAGGCTATTTAAGGAGACACTTAAGATTCAATACTATTTTTTCTTTTTAAATCCTCACCTGCGGATATTTTTCCATTGATTTTTAGAAAAAGGAAAAGACAGAGAGAAATATGATGTGAGGGAAACACCTTGATTGGTTGCTTCCTGCTCATGCCTCAACCAAGACCCCGGGCTCGGGAGAAGCCTGCAACACGGGTATGTTCTCTTGACAGAAATCAAACCTGCGACCCTTTGGTCCGCACCCCAATGCTCAATCCACTGAGTAAACTGACTAGGGATGCAATACTATTTTTAAGTACTTGAAAAAACTGAAATAGAGGGAAAATAAGATTAGGGAAAAAATAAGATGAGATCAGACATGAGAGATTATAATTCTCAAAGCACCTGTGAGTTCCATGGAAAGTGCATACATTTTTTTGTGGCTCAGGCAAGAGGGGCCAGGTTAGGGGAGGTTTTGCAGGCCACACTAAGGAGAACTGAACCTTATAAATAATGGGAGCTATTGAAGTCTTTTAAGCAGGAGTAACTTGGTCAGGATTAGTCGTTCAATATTCAGGAGATTACTCTGCCTGCTAGGTAAAAGGATAATTTATTCAACAAATATTAACAGAGTGTTTACTTACTACCAGACAATGTTCTTAGGGCTGAAGGCAGAGCAGTAAGCAGAACAAAGATCCTTGATTTAAGCAATCATATTCTTATGAAAGATGTCAGGCTATATAATAAAAAGGTAATATGCAAATTGACCATCACTCCAACACAGAGGATGGCCAGCAGGGGTGGGCAGTTGGGGGAGACCAGGCCAGCAGGGGAGGGCAGTTAGGGGTGACCAGGACAGCCGGGGAGGGCAGTTAGGGGTAATTGGGCCAGCAGGGGAGCAGTTAGGTATTGATCAGGCTAGCAGGGGAGTGGTTAGGCAGCAATCAGGCAGGCAGACGAGTGGTTGGAGCCAACAGTTCTGGATTGTGAGAGGGATGTCCTACCCCTCGAGGGTCCCAAATTGGAAAGGACACCCTGCCCCGTCCTCTATGCACGAATTTTTTTGCACAGGGCCTCTAGTAATATAGTAATATAATAAACAAGTACATTATATGGCATGTCTGCTGGTAATGAATGCTTTGGAAAAGAGACCGATAAGGAGAATTGGGGATGCCGGAGGGCTGGTGCGCTGGCAGTTTTACAGAAGGGAGTCTCAAGCAGAAAGAGCAGAGAAGTGCCTGGTTTATGGGAATATGCACACTGACAGAAAGGTTCATCCTTGGAGGGATGGATCTGGGGAAGGCACTGCACAGGCCTAAACATGGGCTTAGAGCCATTGGGAACGAAATTCCAGCATCTCAAGGACCCAGATTATGACGGGGAGAGAGGCTCAAGATGACTCCTCTCAGCCCTGCAGACACCTCACACTGCAGGGAGAGGCATGGCCACAGTGGGATCCTCTGAAGCAGGAGGCTTGAAACAGTCCCCTTCCCAGGGCTTTTTGGAAGGAT